AATTGCCTTTATGTTCCTAGTTTTAGAAAGAACCTTGTTTCAGTTTCTAAACTCGTTATGGATGGTTTTTCAGTTTCGTTTGATGACATGGTTATTATTCGTTTTGAAAATCGTTTCATATGTTGTGGTTCATTAGTTGGCAATTTATATGTTCTCAAACCGAACTCTCCCACAGTGCAACATAATGAATTGAATAATGTCATAACTACATCTAATAAGAGGAAGGAGTCTTCGCAGATGAATCAAGCATATCTGTGGCACCTTAGACTTGGACACATCAACCTTAGGAGGATTCAAAAGTTAGTGGCCAGTGGACATCTCGGTCCATTGGAAGAGCACTATCCAACTTGCGAATCATGCCTAGAAGGTAAGATGGCCAAGAGGCCGTTTACGGCAAAGGGGTATAGGAGCCAAGAAGTGCTAGGATTGATTCATTCTGATTTGTGTGGTCCTATGTCGATCCAGGCTAGAGGAGGTTTCGAGTACTATGTGTCTTTCATAGATGATTACTCGAGATTTGGGTACGTTTATCTGTTGCACCGCAAGTCCGAATGCTTTGAGAAATTCAAGGAGTATCGGGCAGTTGTGGAGAAGCTTCATGGTAAATGTATCAAGTCACTTCGTTCTGATCGAGGTGGCGAATACCTTTTTGGAGAGTTCAGGACATACTTATCGGAAGCTGGGATTGAATCCCAACTGACTGCACCCGGCACGCCCCAGCAGAACGGGGTTGCAGAGCGAAGAAATAGGACACTTATGGAGATGGTTAGATCTATGATGAGTTATTCGAGGTTACCAGATTCGTTTTGGGGAATGGCGCTGGAAACAGCATCGTACATTCTGAACTTGGTTCCATCGAAGTCAGTTGATACTACTCCTTACGAATTGTGGAAAGGGCGTAGGCCAGGCTTTTCACATATTCGGGTATGGGGTAGTCCTGCACACGTGTTAGTGCAGGAACCTGGCAAGTTGGAGAAACGTTCGGAAGCACGAGTTTTCGTAGGCTATCCCAAGGAAACGAAAGGTGGATTATTTTATAGTCCCGGGGATCAGAAGGTGATCGTTTCGACGAACGCTAGATTCTTGGAAGAAGACTATATTATGAATCATAAGCCCGCGAGTAGACTAGTCTTAGAGGAGTTAAGGGGTGAAAGCGATGGTTCCCCACCGAGTGCGCAAGTAGATACATCACATAATACTGCAACACGACACACTGAGAGTGTACCAGTGCAGACAGTGCCTCGTCGCAGTGGGAGGGTTTCTCATTTACCCGACCGATGGATAGGTCTTGGAGAGTCGTCAGACTCAGTTCCAGGAGGCCTAGAATCGGACCCAAGAACTTACGATGAGGCACTCCAAGATAAAGATGCAGATTCATGGAATGTTGCAATGAAAGCTGAAATGGGGTCAATGGACTCCAATCAGGTCTGGGATCTTGTAGAACTACCCGATGGGGTACGACCCATTGGATGTAAGTGGATCTATAAGAGAAAGAGAGGATTGGATGGGAAGGTGCAAACCTTTAAAGCTAGGCTTGTTGCGAAAGGTTATACCCAGATCGAGGGTATTGATTATGATGAGACCTTTTCGCCAGTAGCTATGCTTAAGTCCATTCGGATTCTCTTGGCTGTAGCCGCTCATATGGACTATGAGGTCTGGCAGATGGATGTCAAGACAGCTTTCCTTAATGGGAACCTGCAAGAAGACATCTATATGCAGCAACCAGAGGGATTCATTGCTGAAGGTCGTGAGCATCTAGTGTGTAAGCTTAATCGGTCTATTTATGGACTGAAGCAAGCTTCGAGATCTTGGAACATCCGTTTTGATGAGGTGATCCAGTCGTACGGGTTCACTCAATGTCCGGATGAGCACTGTGTTTACAAGAAAATCAGTGGGAGCGTGGTGGTGTTTCTTGTGCTTTACGTAGATGACATACTGCTTATTGGAAACAGTAAGAAGGAGTTATCAGACGTAAAGGTGTGGTTGTCTAAGCAGTTTGATATGAAGGACTTAGGTGAAGCAGGACACATTCTTGGTATTAGGCTCATTAGAGATCGTAAGAAGAGAATGTTGTGCTTATCCCAGTCTTCATACATAGATACTGTCTTGGCCAGATTCAGCATGCAGGATTCCAAGAAAGGTATGTTACCTTTCAGACATGGAATACCTCTATCTAAGGAGATGTCTCCTAAGACGTCTAAGGAGATAGAGGAGATGAAGACAGTTCCTTATGCTTCGGCAGTAGGAAGTCTCATGTATGCAATGCTATGCACAAGGCCGGATATTAGCTACGCCGTTGGCATGGTAGCTAGATATCAAAGTAATCCAGGACGGGAACATTGGTCTGCGGTGAAGCATATACTCAAGTACCTGAGAAGGACTAAGGAGTACATGTTAGTTTACCGTGCAGGCAGCTTGTTACCTCTGGGTTACAGTGATTCCGATTTCCAGTCAGATAAGGATGAAAGTAAGTCAACCTCAGGTTATGTGTTTACCTTGGGAAGTGGAGCCATTTCATGGAGGAGTGCTAAGCAGAAATGCGTGGCAGACTCCACCATGGAAGCCGAGTACATAGCAGCCTCAGAGGCAGCGAAAGAGGCAGTTTGGCTCAGGAACTTCTTAGTGGACTTAGAGGTTATACCGAGTTTGCCACGTGGTATCACCGTGTACTGTGATAACAGTGGAGCAGTAGCGAACTCAAAAGAACCTCGAGCCCACAGGGCAAGCAAACACATAGAGCGCAAATACCATCTGATTCGGAATATCGTTGGTAGAGGAGACGTTGATGTTGCCAAGATTGCGTCAGAGGACAACCTAGCTGATCCTTTCACGAAAAGTTTGTCGGGGAAGGTCTTCGTCAAACACGTGGAAGGAATGGGAGTCATGAGCATGGCAATAGGATCGACATAGGTCTTTTAGAATAACGGATTGATAGGACTATACTGTAAAAGCGAAAGCTTTAAGTATAAGTGGGAGATTGTTAGTGTTATATACTAAAAGCTTGGCTTTGCATGATATTACACATTTACCCTTTATGAATGAGAATCATGTTAGATTAAACAAGTTCTACGTTCTGTTGTTCTGCACTTAGATAGTGTGGGTCGTCATCGGGCGAACCGAAGATCACTCTGTCAGTTACTTGCGAACAAGAATAGTTGTTCACAACCTAGATGGACATGAACACCCCATCCGAACGGTTGTAGTGTCAACTGTACAGTTTGTCTTGACTGATTAGTTGCACTAGTACATTTATGTATTGAACAGGATCCCAGAGAGGAGAAGTTCATTTTATACTGATCGTCGTAAATGAACTAGGCCTCGGTTAATTACTGCGTTCTCTTAACCCGTAAGATATTAAACAGGCAGATATATATAATATATATTACTTTATTTCACATGGGTGAGGTTCAGTTCGCTGGATTAATATTCCTACTGTTTTGGGTAATATTATTATATATAGGATGTGCTGTTAGGATATTTACGGTCACCATGTGCGTCAGTTTGATGATGTCCCCGGAGTGAGTTCATGAAGGATTGTTATGCTAAACCCTGCAGGTGGATTAAATTCCGGCATAATAAGAATGTGATGAACGAGCGCTAGCTTCGGTGAAATAATAATAAATTAATTAATTCTTGATTGTCAGTAATCGAATTAATTAATGGACATTATATCTTAAACGTGGGGAGGTAAATCGAGTAATTATTATTGGAGTCTCAAATGTAATTTGAGCTAGGGAAAGGGAGTGCAATAATATAATGTTGGTGGCCCATTAATATTATTTAATTAATTAGAGGAGTGGGTTTGGCCCACAGTTAGACTAATTAATTAAGGAGCCCTTTTCCTAATCTCCTTAGGGTCCCTACTGTAGCTCTATATATAAATCATTAAGCTCATGAGAAGAGAATCCCAATCCTATTCACACGTGAATAACGCCGCCCATCTCTCTCTCTCTAGATCTCATTCGAGCTTTATCTTCTTCTTGTTGCTCCACTGGTACAAGTTGAAGAAGGGTGTATTGAGTAATACAGTAGAAGATCTGTAGGTAAACCGAGACGAAATAGATTTTGACCTACAGAACTAACCGGAAGTCCGAATGAGACGTACAGTATACCCAGACGACCATCTCGACGAGTGCTTTCCATCGCCGCCGACGTCGCCGGAATCCGACGCCGCACGCGCCCTCACGCGCCGCCGGAAGGTGTCTGGCAGCAAAATTTCGTTTTGATCTGTTTGCATCCGTTTGATCCAGTTTTGATCTGATCTTGTTCGTGCAACCCAAGACGCGTGTTGCGGTCAATCAATTGCGGTCAACCGTTCGTGGTCAACCAGATCTACATAAATTTTAAGCCGTAAGTTCTCTACATCAAACCTTTAAATCCGCTGCGCATAGGTTTACGTTTGCTATTGAATTCGTGATTTGTACATAACGAGATCCTCACAGATCCCAACAGATTGCCGGTAATGACATCCCCGAAGGATCGGGTAGTGGCGGGGGCGGGGCCAAGGGCGGTGAAGAGGAGCCCGTCGGGGCTGTCCGGTGGCTTCGATGGTGACCAACGGGGGCTGACCAGATCTAGCGGCATGAGGAGTCGGGCCTGAGGTGCCGGCCATCGGAATGGTGGAGGCTGACGTAAAGGTGGAGCCGCGTCTTAGCGTGCCGGACGGCAATCTGGTGACTTGGTGGTGGTCGTCGCCGGCGCCAGCGCTGAGATCGCCAGCCGGTAGTAGAAGGGTGGCGGCCACCGGCAAGGTGGCTGAGGTGGAGGGCGTGGGAGACGCTGTAGAAATGGGAGGTGAATGAAGGGTGAATGGGCTTGGATAGGGGGGTGATTGGGTTTGGATGAGAGCTTAGAAGTAGTGGGCTGGAGAGGAGGAGAAGGGTTGGGCCCGGGAGGTGGCTCAAGAAGCGAAAGAGGCTGTTGGGTTAGCAGAGGAGGGTTAAGTAAGGTTTGAGGGTGGGCCTGTGCAAAACGGGGCCCAACAAAGAGAGAAGGGGTCGATGGAGACCCCGGTCAAACTTAGACAAAGGATCATGCAGCTCAGCGGATGCCACGTGGCTAAGGAGCTTAAGGTTACAGATACAATGAGGCGCCGCCATCTAAAACTTGGACATGGCGAGATTCAAACTAGGAGGTGGCGGGATGAGAAAATCGGAACAAAACGTCAGCGGTAGAGAACCAAATCAAATCGGGGAGAAAGGATTCACGATTCTTTGGTCGGCGGGCGCGTGGGCAATTGAAATATTGGCAGTGGCCATGGCCGGCAGGGAGGGGTTCAGAGCGGCGGCGGCGGGTGAAGGGACGCTGGGATTTCTCCCTCTTCCAAGCTCGAAACGGCCGGAGGCAGGAGAGCCAAGAGAAACCTCTGAAGGGCAGGGTGCGCGAGCATGGCGCTCAGCTCCGGCGGCAGGGAGCAGGCTGGGGGGTGTTGACTGGCAACGGTGCTGAGGCTAAAGGCGTCGGGAGAGGTGGGGGAGGAGCCATGAGGGTTGAAAGACGGGAAAAAAACCAAAAAAATAAAAGGGGGTTGACGGCCGAAAGCCGCCAGCAGCGGCGGCCGGTGGGCCGGTTAGGAGGAGGAGGTGGTTGGGGGAGAAGGATATGGAAGAGGAGGTTGGATATGGATAAGGTAGGTAGAGAGAGAAAGTTAGAGAGAAGTAGGAGCCGATAATGAAATTGGACATTTCCACACACATGTGCTGTTATGAGTAGTTTATGATATGTATATAATCCACAATTTTACTCTGGTTATATTAAGATGTATAGCTTTTCCATTACAATTACTATTTTTATGATTTCTCCATTCATGAACCCATTTTTATTTAACAGATAGATATTTTTATTCAATCTACTGACCTTTGTATTTGTATCATATACTCTACATAAACTAAGATCGTTTATTAAAATATTGATTATAATCAGTTTATGATATGAATATGACATGTTATATACTGAACAAAAATACAAACATCACAATTTTGGTTATAGAAAAATTTTATGTAAATAAAAAACGCATCAGATTGAATACTGAATATATTGACTATGAATGCACTATAGTGAACCAAAATTCAAATATCATACTTGTGGTCAGATAAAAATGTTATGTAAATAAAAAACGCATCAGGTTATATGTTGAATATATACCGACTATAAAAGCAATATATACTGTCCATTCAAAACATCTTAGAGCCGAAAATCCCATAATCTGCGCAATTTAAGGAAGAAACGGTTACACTTTATTCCGTATATGAAAATCCCATAATTTAATGCATTTTTGCATTTAATTGAAATATAATTTGTAAAGATGCAAATCAAGTTTGCCCCACGATCAAATTCCAATTTTTTCCACATCACGTGGTATACATGAAAATTCGCCTTTTAAAAACAATAGATAAATTATGGTTTATGATATACATATATTTAATTTACAATACAATCGTAATATTGTTCCTCCGTACATCGCACGGGCCACTAGTTATTCATACATACACAAAAGAATCAAACACAATCAAGGTCCGAAACATGTACAGATTACTTGTTCTTAGAAACCAGCATTACATAAGTATAATTCGAGACGCGATGCCTTGATCAACAAGAGACCAAACTAAATCTCTGCTTCACCCAACATTAGAAGCTTTTCTTCTGCATATAAAAAAGAACAATATATGACAACATAACTAACAATTCTATAAACTGCATGTCCTCTTAATGTTTATCACCCATATCATTTTTCAGAGAAATACTTCGAGAAAATAAAAATACATAATCATCCAAAAGATAATAAATTAATGTGTATATATATGTTGCTTGTATAATTGTACCACGTTTTTTGGAAATTACTTTTGCTTCTTAGATGCTTCCTCCTTGGCCATACGTTCGAAAAGGCTTCCATCATAAGCAGCTCGAACAATGTCTTTGTGAAGCAAGCCCTGTTTGTCTTTGCAAAGGTAATAAAGTATTCTCCACTCCGCTAGGCCAGCGATCCTTACATATACGATACAGAATTTCGGAATTCTTTCATAAACTAAAAGAATTATATAATTTTTTTTTAAAAAAAAAAAAGAACAAATAGACAATATGAATTATAGTAAAATTATCAAATTTAAATACCATCCGGCATAGTCCTTGGGCTCCCTGTTAGATTTCATGAAACTTTTGAGCTCGTCAGATGTCAAGGCATTTGGATGAGTTCGTGCGTGCTTGATGAATATCTCCTCGAATTTTACCGGGACAAACCTTCAAGAATTATATAATAGCAAGAAAATTATTGTACCGCGAAAGCTATGTGATCAAACGAAACGCAAGAGTCCAATTACAGTTAATTTAGATAGAGAATGACAAGCGAGTAATTTAAAATTGTATTGTATTTTATCCTTAAAATATACCTTCCTTGTGCGTCATACACACCAGAATCGCTTCCATGCTTGGCCAAATTAATGTTTTTCACATCAATCGGAAAATGAATAGAGAATGGTTGCCCCTGCTACATCATATAGTTATATAGTACATTCTTAATATATCTTTTTATTTACATACTTTTTGTTCTTTTTTATTATCCTCTGGCCGAAGTTTAATTAAGATTTCCTATACTATATAATTGGAAAAATAATCACAAATCGCAGATTATTTAAATAAAACAAATATAATTCAACAACACATGTTTGAAAACAAAAGAAACATTATAACTAGATATTTAAACAGAAAAAACTTAGTCTACTTTAAAGTTGTCACAGTTATATTGTGAATGCACAAAACATCCATTTTGATCTTCCTGTGAGCGGAAATCAGGCAATGAAAAAGTTTAGGCTGAAATTGAGAATTAAAATTTGCTACGCCGCAAAAATAATTTTGTAATTGGATAAACAGAACATAAATAATAATCACCGGTCGTGTTTTTCCACTAAGGCCAACGTTGATAAACACGGCAGCAGCAGACGACAACAAAAGCCCACATCCAATTGCTCGAAAACCTGAATACCAAAATTTAAAAATTAAATAAATAGGCGAATAAGGTAATAAATTATCCAATTTTGCCGAAAGAAAAAAATAGAAAAGACCTTCAAAAGTTTCAGACAGATAAATAATCCCATCATTATTTCGGTCGAAGAACATAACGTGCTTCTGCAGAACGTTGGTGTGATCCTGATTTTCCATACCTGTTGCAATTAATCAATTATGTGCAATGAAAATAATTAAAAGAGAAAAGAGAAAAGAAAAAAGAAAAAGAAAAGTTTGGAAAAGAATTCGAAAAGAACGATAAAGAATAATGTTTTTCTTTCGTTTCAAAACAAGTTAATGCAATTTACCTGTACGAAATGATAAAGAGAATTTTAGAAAATTGCTGTGTTGTGTATAAGCTTTTTATAGGGAAGTGGGCGAGGTGTTTACACAAGTTCGGGTTTTGATTTTAGGATTTATATAAACCAAAAGTAGTAATAAAATACTTTAAGAACGTTGCACTAAATGCGGCATATTTGGAGATAATAACAAGTGTAGTTTTTGTTCCGTGAGGCGTCAGCTACATACTTGAATGGCAGCTAATGTTGACACGTGTCGTATGGCGGCCCAAGAAAACGGACATACCTGTCTATGCAGTTAATGTTTTTTTGTTAAACGAAAACACTTTTTGTTAAACGCAAACACTTTATAAATTCTTTATTACAAATTGAATTGAATAAATACTCTCCTTCTTTTCTTTTCTTTTTTCAATCTCTTTTGTTTTCATTTTAAATATTATATTTCTTACCGGTAGAGAATTGCCAAAAGGGAAGAAAAGCGGACACTCAATGCAGCTTAGAGAAATTACCTTCAAAGCAAAAACTATTATGAATTCTTCAACTTCTAAACTATGCTAAGCAACGCTTTTCACGTATTTTTTTTCAAACTTTTGTTCATCGGGAAAAACTAAAGTCCAAAGACTCCAAACGTAACATAATTTTTTTCTTTTTCTTGAAGCATTGGCAAACTATATTGGCCATGCCATTTGGTTCTTGATTCGATTCACACGGGATGCATGGTTAGCTGAGGTGGATAATGACTATTAATTTGCTTGGTACCATTATAATTTGTAGATGGTTCAACTAGGGTGAGCATGTGACTCAAAAACTTTCGAAGAAGTCCGAAAATTAAATCGAAATCGCTCTAAACTGAAAATTGACCGTTGACCTTCTAAGCTTTTTCAAACCAAATCGAATTAGAAAAATAATTGGTATAGTTCTTGAGATGTCACATATGTTGTACCGAGAATTGAATCGAACCATCTCATATTGTATTGAAGCGAAAAACCGAAATTAAGAAGTGAATTATAACATTAGATTTGTGGTGCTCAAATATTTTATATAACCTTTAATGTTGCATCATTTGAGTATTTCTCAAATACTAAATAACATATAATAATAACAATCACTAAAGCAACATTATTGATGGTTCTGTCTTGGGTTTTATGGTTCCTACTAGAGGACTGAGACAGGGTGACCCCTTATCTCCTTACTTCTTTGTTTTGGTTTCTAATTCTTTTTCAAACTTGATTAAACAAGCTTGTGGCCTCAAGATATTCTCTGGTAAAAATTGGCAAATATTTTCATGTTGTGTCTCATCTATTTTTTGTTGATGATTCTATTGTTTTTCGCAAAGCTGATCTCCATCATGCAAACACTATCCTTCAAAATCTTAGAGATTATGGTGATGCTTCAGGCAAATTATTGAATCTTGATAAATTTCAATCTTCTTTTCTAAAAATGCTTCTGAAAATTTACAGAATGATATATGCTGTGTGTTGAATGGGATCTCCAGAGTAAAATCTTCCAAGTACCTGGGTCTTCCTTTAGGTATTGGCAAATCCAA